TGGGAATCGCTTCCTTTTTAATGGTTATAGAATTTAATGGCTCTTTTCTGGATTTTGATAATTAGCGGGTATTGGCCTAATTCTGCTCTACATGCATTATTTGGTGTTTTTCGTTGTACACAGGATATTTTTGCAGAATTTTGCATGCAGAGTCTCAATTTGGTGTTTGTCCCATTATGTGAATTCTTGGTTGGTGAGCGGACCCCAGACCTCACAACCATAAAGGGGAATGGGTTCTATAACTGATTCAAGTATTTTTAGCCAGATCCTAATTGGTATGTCAAATTTTATGTTCCTTTTGATTGCACAGAAGGCCCTTCTTGCCTTGTCTCTCAGATCGTTCACAGCTTTGTGGAAGTACCTGCGGCGCTGATGTTTAGGCCGAGGTATGTATATTTTTTTGTGTGCTCTAGGGCAACGGTGTCTAGATGGAATTTGTATTTGTGGTCCTGGCAACTGGGCCTTTTTGGAACACCATTATTTTTGTCTTACTGAGATTAACTGTCAGGGCCCAGGTCTGACAGAATCTGTGCAGAATATCTAGGTGCTGCTGTAGGCCCTCCTTGGTTGGGGACAGAAGCACCAGATCATCAGCAAACAGAAGACATTTGACTTCAGATTCTAGTAGGGTGAGGCCAGGTGCTGCAGACTGTTCTAGTGCCCTCGCCAATTCGTCGATATATATGTTGAAGAGGGTGGGGCTTAAACTGCATCCCTGTCTCACCCCACAGCCCTGTGGAAAGAAATGTGTGTGTTTTTTGCCAATTTTAACCACACACTTGTTGTTTGTGTAGATGGATTTTATAATGTCGTATGTTTTTCTCACAACCCCACTTTCCATCCATTTGTATAGCAGACCCTCATGCCAAATTGTGATGGTGGTTATTCAGTCTTACTCCATGGTGGAACATGGTGGTTGTGGTGATAGTGTTGGTAAAGACTGTGTTCATTGTTATAGCAGGAGAGGAGAGGAGAGCAGGGGAGAGGAGAGCAGGGGACAGGAGAGCAGCGGAGAGGAGAGGCGCAAAGAGGAGAGCAGGGGAGAGGAGAGCAGGGGACAGGAGAGCAGGGGACAGGAGAGCAGGGGAGAACAGAGGAGAACAGAGGAGAACAGAGGATAACAGAGGATAACAGAGGATAACAGAGGAGAACAGAGGAGAACAGAGGAGAGGAGAGCAGGGGAGAGGAGAGCAGGGGAGAGGAGAACAGAGGAGAGGAGAGCAGGGGAGAGGAGAGGATAACAGAGGAGAGGAGAGGAGAACAGAGGAGAGGAGAGCAGGGGAGAGGAGAGCAGGGGAGAGGAGAGGATAACAGAGGAGAGGAGAGGAGAGGAGAGGAGAACAGAGGAGAGGAGAGGAGAACAGAGGAGAGGAGAGCAGGGGAGAGGAGAGCAGGGGACAGGAGAGCAGCGGAGAGGAGAGCAGGGGACAGGAGAACAGAGGAGAGGAGAGGAGAGGAGAGGAGAGGGAGAGGAGAGGAGAGGAGAGGAGAGGAGAGGAGGGAGAGAGGGACAGGAGAGGATAGAGGAGAGGGAGGAGAGGATGAGGAGAGGAGAGGTAGAGAGGAGAGGAGAGGAGAGGAGGGAGAGAGAGCAGGGAGAGAGGAGAGGATACAGAGGAGGAGGAGAGGAAGAGGAGAGCAGAACAGGGAGATGGAGAGTTGATAACATTTAGTATTAGTGATGAATGCAGAGATGGAGAGGATGAGATAGGAGGGATGGAGATGAGAGAGGGTAGATGGAGAGGAGAGGAGAGGAGAGGAAATGACAGCAAAGGAGAGGAGAACAGCCTGGGGACAGATCCAGGCTTTGTGGTCGAGTGGGCTTTTATATTAGTGTTGAATTGCAAAGAGGATTGGAGAGGATTTCTGTATAATCAGGAGGAGGGATGACTATTGATTTCAGCCAGGGTGAGATGAGGGAAGAAGGGGATGGTGGAGGAGAGGGATGGAGGGGTAGAGGAGGAGAGAGGAGCGGAAGAGCGTAGGAGAGAGGAGCGGAGGAGTGGAGGAGGGAGGAGAGAGGAGTAGAGGAGTGGAGGTGAGAGGAGAAGAGGAGTGGAGGAGAGAGGACAGAGGAGGGTGCTGGTGAGGAGCCAGGCATCTAATTCAACACGAGACACCTACCTACCTCTCTCTCTCTCTCTCTCTCGCTCGCTCTCGCGCTCTCTCTCTCTCGCTCTCTCTCTCTCTCTGTCTCTCTCTCTGTCTCTCTCTCTCTCTCTCTCTCTCTCTCTCTCTCTCTCTCTCTCTCTCTCTCTTTCTCTCTTTCTCTCTTTCTTTCTCTCTCTCTCAGCATATTGTATGTGTCTGGTAAACACAACTAAAGTAAAACACCACCCCTTATTAGATAATAATAGTCTGGCCTGGGGAAACACTGCTACTATCTGGTGTCTAGATAATAATAGTCTGGCCTGGGGAAACACTACTACTATCTGGTGTCTAGATAATAATAGTCTGGCCTGGGGAAACACTACTACTATCTGGTGTCTAGATAATAATAGTCTGGCCTGGGGAAACACTACTACTATCTGGTGTCTAGATAATAATAGTCTGGCCTGGGGAAACACTATTACTATCTGGTGTCTAGATAATAATAGTCTGGCCTGGGGAAACACTACTACTATCTGGTGTCTAGATAATAATAGTCTGGCCTGGGGGAAACACTACTACTATCTGGTGTCTAGATAATAATAGTCTGGCCTGGGGAAACACTACTACTATCTGGTGTCTAGATAATAATAGTCTGGCCTGGGGAAACACTACTACTATCTGGTTTCTAGATAATAATAGTCTGGCCTGGGGGAAACACTACTACTATCTGGTGTCTAGATAATAATAGTCTGGCCTGGGGGAAACACTACTACTATCTGGTTTCTAGATAATAATAGTCTGGCCTGGGGAAACACTACTACTATCTGGTGTCTAGATAATAATAGTCTGGCCTGGGGGAAACACTACTACTATATGGTGTCTAGATAATAATAGTCTGGCCTGGGGGAAACACTACTACTATCTGGTGTCTAGATAATAATAGTCTGGCCTGGGGGAAACACTACTACTATCTGGTGTCTAGATAATAATAGTCTGGCCTGGGGAAACACTACTACTATCTGGTGTCTAGATAATAATAGTCTGGCCTGGGGAAACACTACTACTATCTGGTGTCTAGATAATAATAGTCTGGCCTGTGGAAACACTACTACTATCTGGTGTCTAGATAATAATAGTCTGGCCTGTGGAAACACTACTACTATCTGGTGTCTAGATAATAATAGTCTGGCCTGGGGAAACACTACTACTATCTGGTGACAAGATAATAATAGTCTGGCCTGGGGAAACACTACTACTATCTGGTGTCTAGATAATAATAGTCTGGCCTGGGGAAACACTACTATTATCTGGTGTCTAGATAATAATAGTCTGGCCTGGGGAAACACTACTACTATCTGGTGTCTAGATAATAATAGTCTGGCCTGGGGAAACACTACTACTATCTGGTGTCTAGATAATACTAGTCTGGCCTGGGGAAACACTACTACTATCTGGTGTCTAGATAATAATAGTCTGGCCTGGGGAAACACTACTACTATCTGGTGTCTATATAATAATAGTCTGGCCTGGGGGAAACACTACTACTATCTGGTGTCTAGATAATAATAGTCTGGCCTGGGGAAACACCACTACTATCTGGTGTCTAGATAATACTAGTCTGGCCTGGGGAAACACTACTACTAACTGGTGTCTATATTGTAATAAAAACTGGAGGCTTAGCTTAGCTCAGACATCTCTCCTCTCTTCTCAGCCTCTGGGAAGTGGAGCAGACATAGGTAATGTGAGATGATGGCACACTTGAACAACATTGATGTTATCATTATAGACGTGAGTGGTCTGTTGACATGGTGATGGAGGGAGGCTGATGTCATTATAGACGTGAGTGGTATGTTGTCATGGTGATGGAGGGAGGCTGATCTTTTCACTATAGACGTGAGTGGTATGTTGTCATGGTGATGGAGGGAGGCTGATGTTGTCATTATAGAAGTGAGTGGTCTGTTGACATGGTGATGGAGGGAGGCTGATGCTGTCATTATAGACCTGAATGGTCTGTTGTCATGGTGATGGAGGGAGGCTGATGTTGTCATTATAGACCTGAATGGTATGTTGTCATGGTGATGGAGGGAGGCTGATGTTGTCATTATAGACCTGAATGGTCTGTTGACATGGTGATGGAGGGAGGCTGATGTTGTCATTATAGACCTGAATGGTCTGTTGTCATGGTGATGGAGGGAGGCTGATGTTGTCATTATAGACCTGAATGGTCTGTTGTCATGGTGATGGAGGGGAGCTGATGTTGTCATTATAGACCTGAATGGTCTGTTTGTCATGGTGAGGAGGGAGCTGATGTTTGTCATTATAGACATGAATGGTCTGTTGACATGGTGATGGAGGGAGGCTGATGTTGTCATTATAGACCTGAATGGTCCTATTGACATGGTGATGGAGGGAGGCTGATGTTGTCATTATAGACCTGAATGGTCTGTTGTCATGGTGATGGAGGGAGGCTGATGTTGTCATTATAGAAGTGAGTGGTCTGTTGACATGGTGATGGAGGGAGGCTGATGCTGTCATTATAGACCTGAATGGTATGTTGTCATGGTGATGGAGGGAGGCTGATGTTGTCATTATAGACCTGAATGGTTTGTTGACATGGTGATGGAGGGAGGCTGATGTTGTCATTATAGGCCTGAATGGTCTGTTGTCATGGTGATGGAGGGAGGCTGATGTTGTAATTATAGACCTGAATGGTCTGTTGACATGGTGATGGAGGGAGGCTGATTTGTCATTATAGACCTGAATGGTCTGTTGTTCATGGTGATGGAGGGGCTGATGTTGTCATTTTAGACCTGAATGTCTGTTGACATGGTGATGGAGGGAGGCTGATGTTTTCATTATAGACCCGAATGGTCTGTTGTCATGGTGATGGAGGGAGGCTGATGTTGTCATTATAGACCTGAATGGTCTGTTGTCATGGTGATGGAGGGAGGCTGATGTGTCATTATAGACCTGAATGGTCTGTTGACATGGTGATGGAGGGAGGCTGATGTTGTCATTATAGACCTGAATGGTCTGTTGTCATGGTGATGGAGGGAGGCTGATGTTGTCATTATAGACCTGAATGGTCTGTTGTCATGGTGATGGAGGGAGGCTGATGTTGTCATTATAGACCTGAAAGGTCTGTTGTCATGGTGATTGAGGGAGGCTGATGTTGTCATTATAGACCTGAATGGTCTGTTGTCATGGTGATGGAGGGAGGCTGATGTTGTCATTATAGACCTGAATGGTCTGTTGACATGGTGATGGAGGGAGGCTGATGTTGTCATTATAGACCTGAATGGTCTGTTGTCATGGTGATGTTATTATTATAGACCTGAGTGGTCTGTTGTCATGGTGATGGAGGGAGGCAGATGTTATCGCTATAGACCTGAGTGGTCTGTTGTCATGGTGATGGAGGGAGGCAGATGTTATCTCTATAGACCTGAGTGGTCTGTTGTCATAGTGATATAGGGAGGCAGATAGAGGCTGTATACTGTACCTGACCTGTGTAGCCACGCCCACGCACACAAACACAACACACACACAAACACACACAAAACACACACACACACACACATACACACACACGCTGAAAAGCAAAATATATCTATCAGTGTTCAGCAGACCCTTGACCCCCACTGGGAGGAGAGAGAGGGGGGGGGGGGGATGGAATAGACAGGGAGATGGGAAACAGCCAGAGAAAGGAGGGGCTTCAGTGGCAACCTTCAAGGGGTCAACTACTCCAAATTGCACCACTTGTGAATCCAGTTTGACTGAGACAGACAAAAATAAACCCAGTTCATCGTTTGAAAATGCTACAGTTTTCCTCTATGTAAGAATTATTCTACGGCTGCGAGATTTTAAATGTAAATGGATTCATAGTACTTACACATGCTCTATAGATGTATAATGGTACAGGCCATCATTACAATACAGGCCATCATTACAATACAGACCATCATTACAATACAGACCATCATTACAGACCATCATTACAATACAGACCAACATTACAATACAGACCATCATTACAATACAGACCATCATTACAATACAGACCATCATTACAATACAGACCATCATTACAATACAGACCATCATTACAATACAGACCAACATTACAATACAGACCATCATTACAATACAGACCATCATTACAATACAGACCATCATTACAATTACAGACCAACATTACAATACAGACCATCATTACAATACAGACCAACATTACAATACAGACCATCATTACAATACAGACCATCATTACAATACAGACCAACATTACAATACAGACCATCATTACAATACAGACCATCAATTACAATACAGACCATCCATTACAATACAGACCAACATTACAATGAAAGAACCCATCATTACAATAAATAGCAGAGCCAACATTACAATACAGACCAACATTACAATAAAGACCATCATTACAATACAGACCAACATTACAATACAGAGGCCATCATTACAATACAGACCATCATTACAATACAGACCATCATTACAATACAGACCATCATTACAACGACCATCATAAATACAGACCATCATACAATCAGACCATCATTCAATCAGACCAACATTACAATACAGACCATCATTACAATACAGACCAACATTACAATACAGGCCATCATTACAATACAGACCATCATTACAAAAGCCAACATTACATAAGACCATCATTACATACAGACCATCTTACATACAGACCATATTCATACGACCACATTACAATACGACCCTCATACAATACAGACCATCATTACAATACAGACCATCATTACAATAAACAAAACCCACCAT